AATTCTCACAAGCTGTGAGGACATTATAAATAACATAAATACAAGTACTTTAATTAGTAGATCTGTAAGTATGTAAAAGAACTTGACCATTTATAAGAATAAACATATATTTGCTTAAATTAAAAACATAAATGTAAGTTTTTAATTATTTTCCTAAATAATTAAGTTAACCTTTAGTGAGGTACTAGTCCTATTACACTCATTAAGAGAACAATGAATATTTTAATTATAGTTATAATGACCATACATCCCATACTCCCCAATTGACCTGGAAGTATTTCATCAAAATCATTAGCATCTCTTACCACTTTCAAAAGTTGATAGAAGACATAAAGTTGTGGTGCCAGGAAATAATAAGGGAACAATCTTAGGAACCTTTCTGTACTTTTTAGGCACCCCCTAAAATCCACTCCAAATAAATGTTAGCAAACCAGCTTGCTATGCAAAAGGAATCCCTCTTTCTAAGCCTCAACTACATAGGAATACCAGAGCTAATGTACACAAGTATTCTCCCATTTAAAAAAGGTAATTTAAACCCAGAAAACACACCACTTTTAATTAACATTTAGGAACATTCATAGGTGAATCACAAAAAAAAAAAAAACAGCTAGAAATCACCACTACATTGTATTATCAGCCAAAAATCCTTTGCATGGCTTGAGATAAAGTTGCTGGTTTCCACTTGAATCACAGTGTTTGCTGAAACACATATTTCCATAGACTGCACACTGGCAAGCAGAGTAAAATGCTTTAAGTATTTTACAAAACCAACAGATTTCAATCCACTAAAGACTATGACCTGCTTGGGAAAGAATGGGGTGGTTTTACATCAAGAAGCAAAACCTTAGCCAGGTACCAGTGGCTCAGCCTATAATCCTAGCCATTCAGGAGGCAGAGATCTGAGGATCGCAGTTCAAAATCAGCCCAGGCAGGAAAATTCTGTAAGACTCTTATCTCCAATAAACTACTCAAAAAAGACATAAGTGGTGCTGTGGCTCAAGTGGTAAAGCACTCATCTTGAGCAAAAAAAGCTCAGGGGCAAAGCCCAGGCCCAAGGAGGAGCAGAAGCTGGAGCAGGAGGAGGAGGAGGAGGAGAAAGAGAAGAAGGAGGAGGAGCCACAGCAGCAGCAGGAGAAGAAAAGTTCTCCCTCTTTTTCTTCACTGTTTTTTGTTGTTGTTGTTGTTGTGCTGTTTTTTGTTTGTCGGTCATGGGGCCTGAACTTTGGGCCTGGGCCCTGTCCCTCAGCTCTTCAGCTCAAGGCTCACCCTCTATCACTTGAGCCACAGCGTCACTTTCGGCTTTTTCTGCTTATGTGGCACTGAGGAATCAAACCCAGGGCCTCATGCATGCAAGGCAAGCACTCTACCACTGAGCCACCTTCCCAGCCCTTCACTATTTTTTTGTTGTTGTTGTTTGTTTTTTGGGTCCGGTCATGGGGCCTGAACTCTGGGCCTGGGTGCTGTCCCTCAGCTCTTCAGCTCAAGGCTAACGCTCTACCACTTGAGCCACAGCGCCACTTCCGGCTTTTTTCTTTTTTGCTTATGTGGTGCTGAGGAATCCAACCCAGGGCCTCAGAAGCATGCAAGGCAAGTGCTCTACCACTGAGCCATCTTCCCAGCCCCCCTTCACTGTTTTTTTTAATTTAACTGCATTGCTGGAGACTTTTATAACATGATGAGTCACTAAAACAGTGAAATGCTAGTCCACATAATACTTAACCAGCATTAACCAACATTCTTAACCAGCACTCATGAACTCCTTCATCTGTGGTTGAACTTCAAAAAGTCTAGCAGGGCACTGGTGACTCATACTCGCAGTCCTATCTACTCAGGAGGTTGAGATCCAAGGACTGTGGTTTAAAGAGAGCCTGGGCAGGAAAGTCTGCAGACTCTTATCTCTAACCAGCAAAAAGCCAGAAGCAGAGCTGTGGCTCAAGTGGTAGAGCACTAGCCTTGAGTAGAAAAGGATAAAGGACAGTGCCCAGGCCCTGATTTCAAACCTCAATACTCACTCACTCTTTCTCTCTCTCTCTCTCCCTCCTCCCTCTCTCTCTTTCTCCCTCTCTCTCTCTCTCTTTCACACACACACACCCCTAAAAAATCCCCCAAAATGATACATAAAATAGTTTGAGTGAGCATTCAGTGTTCACGTTTCCCTTGGGTGAGTCAACAGTCTCTAGTATGAAGGAAAGAACTTCAAATACAAGACAAGTTTAAATTCTTATTCAGAAACTAATCTGACTATTAGCTTGGAGAAGTCACTTCAATTTTCTTCTTTCCAAAGGGAACACAAACCTCATCTACTTCAAAAGGTAATTGGATAAGATTTTTTTTAATACTTTGTTTAAAACAATCAAGACTCTAATCTTTCAGAACACATAAAATTCCTGTATGGAAAAGATTCTTCTATTTATAAAGAACAGCAAAAGAATAAGGAGAGCAAATAAAGACACAAAATTAAAATTCACCTTCATCCCATCCCCAAATCCTGGAGTTGCTGAGATAAATCTACCCTGGGGAGATGTAGAGATCACAAGTTCAGCTCCTGCCCAGCTCAGATTGCTCAATAACCAGTGTTTCACACTGATAAATGCCTCCCAAATCTCAGAGCACAGAGTGAGAGTTCACGAGGTTAGGCGCATTAATTAGCAGTACTCATTTGGATTCTGTATTCATCAAATACAACAAGCAGCTATTCAATATTTGCCTATTTGCACTACTCTAAGATCCCTAATTCAAAGATCCAACCAGAGTACAAAATAAGGCCCATGAAAATAAACCTGTCACCATCAAAATGTGCCTCAAAGTAAATTAAGCAGCTTTACATAATGGCCAATGGGTTTGCACAGGCCTACAGCAGAGATGGTATGAGTAATGAATGTACAGGTCCCTGCTCCAAAAGGAAAGAAAAGTAAAGTAGTTACAAGCAATGACAATACTTTTTGTGGTTTAATTAATGTTATTAACTCCTTTTCATTTTGCTCCTCACTGATCTGCAATCCCTCACAGAAAGAACACAGCATCAGACAGTATTCCTTTCAGCTTCAGAGCTAAAAATATCAACACACTTTATAGCAATTAGCATACCTTAGTATACAGGACTAGATTAAGAGACTGACCCTGACCCCTTACCACATAACCGAACCATGTATAAACAGTTGAAAGCTAAGCCTAGGAATCTTTGGGAGCTGAACCTCCAGTTTTAACCTATGGCTAGGATACAGAACTATTGTCAAGAAGCACAAATTTCACAGCTTACAGATTTGTGGCCAATCCACACCAGAGAGAAAACAAATAAAATGACTATATACTGCCGAGCACCAGTGGCTCACGCCTGTAATCCTAGAGACTCAGGAGGCTGAGATCTGAGGATCACAGTTCAAAGCCAGCCCAGGCACGAAAGTCCCCATGAGACTTTTATCTCCAATTAACCACCCCAAAATCGGAAGTGGGGCTGTGGCTCAAGTGGTAGAGCGCTAGCCTTGAGCACAAAGAGGCTCAAGGACAGCACGCAGGCCCTGAGTTCAAGCCCCATAACCCCCTCTCCCTCCAAAAAAATTCTGATTGTCTTCAGATTTAGACAGGTAACCTTATTTCTCACCAAAAGCTTCTGTCTTCAACTTTAATGGTGATGATCCCACAGACAGATAAACAGTGAGATGAATGCTTTTTCAGCATACGGACTCTACCCACTCAGATACCAACCTAGTACCCAAAATGCAAGTACTGGGCAAAGACTCTCAAATGTGGAAGGCCTCTATGAAGATGATCTTAGATTATGCTATTTTTTAAGATTATTTTCAGAGGCCCTGATGAAACTCAATTAACTTCTGGGAAGGAACTAAATGGACTGCTACTTCATTTAGCACTATGAAGGTTCATATCCAGTAGACAAACCTAACAGTGGTAGCTTCTTTTGGCAAGCTTAAAAGAAATTATGAGCCAGGGGCCGGTGGCTCATGCCTGTAATCCTAGCTACTCAGGAGGCTGAAATCTGAGGATCATGGTTCAAAGCCAGCCCAGGCAGGAAATTCTGTGACACTCTTATCTCCAATAAACCACTAGAAACCTGGAAGTGGTGCTAGGCACTCGCCTTGAGCTGAAGAGCTCAGGGACAGCACCCAGGCCCAGAGTTCAAGCCCCATGACCGAAAAAAAAAAATTATGAATGGGCATTCAAAAGACATTTCCAGGACTTGTCCTTTCAGACCTGAAAAATGTCAATATCCTCAAACAGGAAGGAGACCAATGTCATTCAGCAGCAAGGTGACTTGACCCATACCAGTTGTACCAGGTTCTTAACTCTCATTTCAACCTTATCTACTGAAGCCTTCAAGTAGCAAAAAAAAAAAACATGGAAGGCATTTCACACATTTCCTCAAACTGTAAAGAGGATAATCTGTAGGAAGCAGTTCTACTCTAACCTATGAAAGGTCCTAGCCTGTTTCTAATCATCCCCCATTTAATAAAGGAAAAAAGGCAGAAATTTCAATGTCTCTGGCAAGATTTCTCTGATTAAAACCATAAGGTCAAAAAAAATTTTTTTAATCCCCCTGGAAGGAGCATGGAATTTTCTTCCTTTACCTTATTACAAAGATGAAAACAGATCAAACAGATCCATACAGAAAGACAAAATGACGGGGGGCGGGGGGGGGGGGCCAACAATTTCAGCTGTTAGAATTAAAGAGACATTAAAAAAACGGTTAAGATATTAGCAAAAAAGTCAATCCTTGCAATGTTTAATAATTTTCTCTTGTAACATCCATAATTAAAGTAACATAATACCTTTAGGACTAAGAAATATTTATTTTATATCTGAAAAAACATATTCATTCCTGAAATAAGTTGTGTTACCTTCCAAAGTAAGTAATTTTAGGAAATGTTAATATTTCTCTCTTAAGGTATACTTTGATCACATCTGTACACACACACACACACACACACACACACACACAAACACACACACACACACACACCAAGTTATAAATAGTAGACACCAACCTGGCTATCCCGCGGTGGGAATCCATGATAACCTGGGGTCAAAGACTCGTTCTAAGATAGAGAAAAAAGAAACTGTAAGAAACCAGGAAACACAATAATCAAAAGCATCCAAACTGGTCAAATATAAAAGCTGCTTTGGTTCATATTCCATGCTACCTAACTACAAAACAAAGATCAGTACTCACTTAGGACACTATCCAGGAATAGCATTTCCCCCTGCATTTCCTCTCCCGAATAGTTCAACCAGGGTACTATGGAGACTGGGAGCCAGAAGAGTTCCAAACATCACACTGGGTGACTTCAGCAGACCCAGCCTCTTCTCACTGAATGCTAAATACTGAAGAACCATCAGCTTCCATGTATTTCTACTTGTCACCTGGTCAGAAAGGGGACAAATACTACCCTACTAACAACTGCCTCCTGGTCTGGAAAGATTAAGCTCTTCCTCTCTATTAATCTGTTTGCCCTCACTTCTTCTATTTTTAGCTTTTTGTTTGTTTTTTTGTGCCAGTGTTTCACAATGTTTGCCTAAGTGGCCTTCAACTCATTATATAGAACAGACTGGCCTCAAATTTTGATCCCCTGTCTCTTCTCCAAAGTGATGACATTACAGGAATGTGCCAACGTGCCTGACAAGTTCTTTTAAGTCTAGATGACATTCCAGCTCTGTTTAAGACTTCCCCTATCATCCTATATCATCTTATGGACCCCAGTAACTTTGAACATGTATAAATGTCAATATTTGTTCTAGGTATTTGTGCAATTTAGTTCCAATGTTATTTGTGATTCTCATTAATCTTATTTTATTAAAGGTCTATCATACTTAGTCTCTCACATCTTCACACTGAACAACTGAATTTAGGTTCCTAAGGCATGGGGCTGGGAAGGTGGCTCAGTGGTAGAGGGCTTGCCTTGCATACATCAGGCCCTGGGTTTGATTCCTCAGCACCACATAAGCAAAAAGAAGCCCAAAGTGGCACCATGGCTCACGTGGTAGAGCGCTAGCCTTGAGCTGAAGAGCTCAGGGACAGAGCCCAGGCCCAGAGTTCAGGCCCCACACGGACAGGAGAAAAGAAAAGAAAAGAAAAGATTCCTAAGGCAATTTTACTGGCCATTAAATGCAAACCCTAATTTAGTGTAAGGTCATGTATTTCTTCCTTGATCCATTCAAGCAACAAATACTGAATACTAAAATTTCCAAATAAGTGAAAGAGTAAGAAAGGTAAATAAAGCAAGGCCCTTGCCTTCACACTATCACAAATGAGAGGAGATAATATGTGCATACCAAGGAATGATAAGAACATTGGGTTGTTCTCATAATTTCTCAAGTGCAACACAGCTACTCAAAGACACTCATCATCTTCTTCTTCCACCCATTTGTGCTTTATTCATACTAGCAGAAAAGAGGAATTTTCATCAGTAGGTCTTTCACATTTGGCAACAAAATAAACTTTTCATCTAATGGTAGGCACAACAGAGATACAATTACATTCAAAATTATAATGAAATATAGTCAAAAGTCAACAATCATCAAGATATATTGTATTCATAAGTTGCTTTGTTAAATGGCAACTCTTTTGTGCAACTACTTAAGAGATAATTTTTTTTAAAGGTCAATAAACACTTCGAAAACCTGAGAGCCAGAAGTCAACTTGGGTCATTAAAGAACCCCAGGATTTCCGCAATATCTAGCACTACCTAGCACACAGGTGTCTCTACATGGTGGAGACATAAAAGAATATCTAAAAAAAAATAAAGTTAAATAACTAGAAATTATTTAGGAATTTCTCCTCTAATTCTATCAGAGGTAAACAAAATTCTCCTTTTCTAGTAATAAATAATCTATTTTAGACACTTAAATATTTATACATCGGTTTCCTCAAAGAAAGCACACTATATACTCAAAATAATTGTCTTTAAAAAAGATTATGAGCCGGGCACTGGTGGTTCACGCCTGTAATCCTAGCTACTCAGGAGGCTGAGATCTACCGATCATGATTTGAGACCAGCCTAGGCAGAGATTCTTATCTCTAGTTAGATTATCTCTAGAGATTCTTATCACTAATTAACCACTCAAGAACTGGAAATGAGGCTGTGGCTCAAAGTGGTAGAGTGCTAACCTTGAGCAAAAGAGCTTAGGAACAGACCTGGAGTTTAAGCACTACAACCACCACCAACAATAACAAAACCCACACACACTAGTAATAATCACATACTAGGATGATTATAAATAACAAAGTCTGACAATATTAAGTGTTGATGAGGATAGGAGAAATAGAAATTTTTGTACATTGCTGGTAGGGAATATAAAATGGTATGGCTACTTTGGAAACAGTTGGGTAGTCCAGAAAAGGTTAAGCACAGCCAGGTCTGGCATGTAATCCTAGCACTCAGGGGCTAGCAGGAGGACAGCAAGTTCAGGGTCAGCCTGGGTTACCTAGTTAAAACTCTGTCACAAAAAACAACAACTAAAAAGGCTAAACACTCTTACTACATGGTCAAGAAATTCCACAGCCAAGTCTGTAACAAAAAAAGCAAAAAGATACATGTATAGAAAATCTTAAACAAGAGGGGATGTGGACAGAAGGGAACCTTACTTCATTGTTGGTGGAGTGTAAACTTGTTCAACCACTTTGGAAAGTAGTATGGAGGTTCCTCAAAAGACTCCACATAGAGCTCCCCTATGACCCAGCAGTCCCACTTTTGGGCATTTACCCAAATGTTTACAAACAAGACCACATTAAAGCTACCAGCACAACTATGTTTATTGCAGCATTATTTACTATAGCTAAGATCTGGAACCAACCCAGATGCCCCTCAGTAGATGAATGGATCAAGAAAATGTGGTATATATACACAATGGAATTCTATGCCTCCATCAGAAAGAATGACATTGCCCCATTTGTTAGGAAATGGAAAGGCTTGGAAAAAATTATATTAAGTGAAGTAAGCCAAGCCCAAAGAAACATAGGTCCCATGGTTTCCCTTATTTGCAATATCTAGTATATGTATGAGTCAAGCAGAAAAGATCAGATAAGGTGATGTTAGAAAATGAACCCTAAGATATGTATTTTAAATGTTTTTTTTCTTTCATGCATTTGTTTCTAACGCAATTATAAGATTATTTCTTTGCTGCTTTGTATGTCCCTCCCCCACAATATAACCCCTGCTTTCACTGTATTTGATGTCGGTATAATTTTTAGAGGGGAAAGGGAAAAACAAGTCATTTAAATAAGGATACAGGTGGACCTGTTCCAACAATGAAAAGTACAAGTTGTCATGTCAAAAATGAACTTTACAACTTGGGGGGGGAAGGATTGGGGGGGAGGATTGGGTGGGGGGGGAAGGATGGGAAGGGATGGGAAGGGTAAACAAAGAGGAGGCTACAATGCTTGGTAAGAAATGTACTCACTATCTTGCCCATGTAATTGTAACCCCTCTGTACAGTATTTTCACAATAAAAAAAAGAAGATCTTAAACAAGAATGCTCAGAGCAGCATTATTTCCTAATAGCCAAAAGTAAAACAACCCAACACTCAAATGACGAATGAAACAAAATACAGTACATCTATAACTGAATATTATCCAGCATTTATAAGAATGGAATACTAATGCAACATAGATGAATCTTGAACACATCATGCTAAGCAAAAACAAACAAAAAACACATAATATGGCCACAAATTATATCATTCTATTTATAGAAAGGGTCTAGAACAGATAAATCTATAGTGACAGAAAACAGATTTGTGAATTCAAAGGCTAGGGGATAAAAATGAGCAGGGACTGCTAAAAGACAACAACATTTATTTGGGACAACAACATTTATTATGAGAATATTTTGGAATCACACATTGATGATAGATGCATGACTGTAATTATACTAAAAACCACTAAACATTAAAAATACTTTTTTTTTTTTTTGGTCTGTCATGGGGCTTGAACTCTGAGCCTGGGCGCTGTCCCTGAGCTCTTCAGCTCAAAGCTAGCACTCTACCACTTGAGCCATAGCACTACTTCCAGTTTTCTAGTGGTTTATTGAAGAGTTCACAGAGTTTCCTGCCCCGGCTTGCTTTGAACTATGATCCTCAGATCTCAGCCTCCTGAGTAGCTAGGCTTACAGGCATGAGCCACCAGTGCCCAGCTAAAAATACTTTTTTAAAAAGGAAATTTATAGTCCAAAATAACCTCCGCATTAAATGTGCTATTTAACAATAATAAAGGCAAAGTCAGTTTTTTTCACACTGACTTTTATAATGGCAATATATACAACATGAAGGAGGTGGAAAGGGGAGGAAGGAAGAGTGGAACTCCTTAAGTTCGTAAGTGCTTTGTTTCTTCTAGATTCTATAAATTTACTAATAGTAAATTTTCTAATAGTAATAATAAAGAAGATGATGTTGACGGACAGATACTGAGCAACTAAGCAGAATGGTTCCAAGGTGGAAGGGGGAGGAAGAGAAAAACAAAAAGAGGAGATTACACAGACAGATTACACAGATATATAAAAATGTATTTATTATTAGGGAAAGTAAGAGAAAGTACATAACCAAATAACAAAAATATCAAGTGACAGAGCTGAGGTAGAAGTGGTAGTACACATCTATAATCTCCTGAGAGATTAGGAGGTGGAAGCTGGAGGACCAAGAATTTGAGGGCAGCATGAGCTTTAAAGTGAGACTCTATCTCAAAAAGACAAAGGGCCTGCTCACGCCTGTAATCCTAGCTACTCAGGGCGCTGAGATCTGATGCTGCAGTTCAAAGCCAGCCTGGGTAAGAAAGTCTGTGAAACTCTTATCTCCAATTAACCACCAGAAAAACCAGAAGTGGGCTGTGGCTCAAGTGGTAGAGCACTCACCTTGAGCTGAAGAACTCAGGGACAGGGCCCAGGCCCAGAGTTCAAGTGCCATGACTGGCCAAAAAAAAAAAAAGACAAAGGTCAGTGGATATAGTTCAGTAGTACAGCACTTGCCTAGCATGCATATTTCAAGGAAGTAAGCAAGCAAAGAAAGCCAAACCAGTTCTGGTGGAGTCTTAAGTCCCTGTTGTTC